ACTCTCAGTTCCTAACCTTAAAGTCAGTAGTTCAAAATCAGCAGCTGCTTCTCAGGAGAAAGATGAGGCTGTCTACTCCTGAAAAGATTTACAGTCTTGGAAACCCACAGGGTCTGTTCTACCCAGCCCTACAGGGTTGTTATGAGTTGGAATTGATTCAATGGCAGTGAGCACTGATATCTGATGAAACACATAGATTCCCTTGTCCACTGTTTGGTATAAAACTTAATTTTTTAAAATGTAAATTAACATTTTTCTTTTTAAAAACATTTCCCTTAGAATATCTTTGCCATTCTCTTGGCTTGCTTCTATCTTTAAAAAAAACCAAAGTGGACAAGAACCCATATATCCAAAAGTATTCATGTTGCATAGTTTGTATTTTAAAATAGGTGGAGCTCTGCCACAGTGCATGTATCTGTTTTAGAAAATTCCCACTCCAGGGGGACTTCCAGTCACTTTTAGCACAGTTCCAGGTGCTCCTCCCTCTTTGCTCCTAAATCCATCTTTCCCATCACTGTAAGGTCCTCAGCCTGGGCTTTCTGCCCTGGGCGTCTAGGTGGCAGCCCCCTCACTTCCCCCACGACCCCCATTGTGATTCTGTTGGTGGAAAGAGGAAGGTGCAGGGGGCTGGCATGATACTGAGTCTCCCACCGCACCCCTAAACCCACTATGCCTTGTACATTGCTGTCAATTCTCAAGTTTGCTCAGTGAACCTGCCCTTCAGGGATAGGATGTACACTTCCCTTCCCCATAACCTGTTTCTTTTTGAGTCCTTTCCTCTGGGGAAAGTATCCTCCCACAGCGAGCCAGTATCGATTTGGACCACATCTGATTATTATCAGGCTCCCTGCACATGCGAAGAAAGTCTAGCTACAACCTACAGCTGAGCAAAAGAACTTTGGTCAAGGAACCAAAGTAGCCAGAAAGAAGCCACCAGACCAACTGCACCAAGCATTTTAACTGTGTATTCACGATTATTCCTTGGACAGCTGTTACATCGTAACAAGCACTTCAATTTCCTTTATTGTGCACAAGTATAAAATGACAAATCCTATTTGGGGAAGGCTTGCGTGGTGACTCTAGTCCTGGCTGGCTTGCTCCTTGCTTGATCAGCCAAAACAAAATCTTCCTTCACTTTCACAGCTTTGTTTCTCAGCTGCCCTAAGGGTTGGTAGCAATACAATTAACTTGCAGCCAGCGTCTTTTCTTTACCTGGTTATAATAAACACACAAACGCTTATATCCTGGCTGTACTCTATTATTTCACGCTCAGGAGAAAGGGGATGGAAGAACACAGTCTGCTGTTCTGCTGTTAGACTATAAATGTCTTTCCTATCTCAAACTCACTCCCGTCGAGTCAATTCTGAGTTATCATTTATTTCTAATGTTATTTGGCTGTCAGACCATGAGAATCAGCCCTGCTTACTCCTCGCAATGCTTCCTGAATATTGGGGGGGTGGGGTGTGGGGTCACACTATGGTGGGGAGGGGCTGTACCTTCTTAAATAGATTTGTCCAGTTCCTCTTCTGAGAGGCCCTCATACTCTGCAGGGCTACTAGTATAACACTTGTAAGATGTTTACATTCTAATCAGTACATGTACAACCCAGCTACAGTGATGCTGGAACAAAAATAGCACACATGGTTAAGGAACAAAACTAGTTTCTCACAGTTCACCAAGCTCAAAGTCTACATTCAAATGGTGGCTATGGAGGAAGGGTCTTCTTTGTCTATTTCACCTTATATTAGCCAGGAGTCCCCAATTCCTTAGTGATCTGCATGTGGCATCTCCTTAACCACATCTGTGCTTATTTGTCTCTGTGTTTATACGACTCCTAACCAACTCCATGTGATCGGGTTCAGGACATCCTACAGCGATAGTGCCTCAGGAATAGCACAAGAAAATCTTCTTCCCAATGCGATCACTAGGAGCCCTGGTGACATAGGGGTTACACATTGGGCTGCTAACCACAAGGTCAGCAGTTTGAAACACGAGTGACTCTGGGGAGACAGCTAGGTCTTTCTACACCTGTAAAGCGTTATGTCCAGGAAACGCACAGGGACAGCTCTACTCTGCCCTCTGGGCTTGCTATGAGTCTGCTTCGACTCTCCAATGGTGAGTGAATGGACAGAATCACCAGCCCTTGTTTGTCAGTTTGTGGTCCTCTGGTGGCCTCTGTGTTGCTGTGACGCGAGAAGCTCTGTCACTGATATTTCCAATACCAGCAGGGTCACGCAAAGTGAACAGCAGGGCTTCCAGACCAAGAACAGATTACAAGAAAGACTAGGCTGTCCACTCCTGAGGGAGTAGCTTCTGAAGGCCTTCTGAAGAGCCCCAGGCCACTGGCAGAACTAGTGCCAGAAGGCGAGCTCCTCACACAGAAGGCACTCAACGTACGGCTCAGGAAGAGCTGCCTTCTCAGACTTGAGATGGCAATAATGGCAAGGGTGGAGTAAAGCCTTCAGGACCTTCATTTCCTGATGGGGTGTAACTCAAAATGAGAAGAAATATGGGCAAGCATATCTTAATAAGTAGAACTCAGAATGTACAAAGTATGGATCTAGGAAAATTGGAAAACAGACTGCCAATTGCTCACATGTAAGTTAAGGTTGAAACGACATAAAATTAAAACAAATCAACAACAGCCCAAATAAAAAACGCCAGTATATCCCACGTGACTTTTGAGAACATCTCAGGTGCAGATTTCTTGCAATGCACACAAATGACAGGAGACCCGATGAGCTGCGGGAGGACATCAAGAACGTCATAAAGCAAAAGGGCATTAAAAAGCCAGGAAAGAAAGAAAAGATCAAAGTGAATATTTGAAGGGACTGAAACTTGCTTTCAATTGTAGAGTAGCCAAGGCAAAACGGAAGAAACAATGACGTAAAATAGCTAAACAGAATTTGAAAGTACACATGGAGAAAACAAAAGTAAAGTATGATAATGAGAAGTGTAAAGACCTAGCGTTAGACAAGCATAAAGGAAGAACATGCTCAGCATCCATTGAACCGAATGAACTGAAGAAAAAAGTTCAAGCTTCCAGTTGTAATATTAAAAGATTCCCTGGGCCAAAATATTGAGCAGTGTAGGAAGCGTCAAAAGCAGATGGAAGGAATACACAGAGTTCCTGTACAAAAACAGTAACAAAGAAACGAGTCAGCCATTTCAACCACGTCAAGCGGGTATATGCTCCAGAAGCAATGGTACTAAAGAAAGAAGTCCAAACTGAACTGGAGGTATTAACCAAAAACAAAACAACAAAAAAAACGCCCCAGGAATTGATGATGAATACCAATTGAATTGAGTACCAATTAACAACCTGTGGTTAACAATCTTGCTTGCTGAGAGGACTTGAAGCACTTGCTGATGAAGATCCAGGTTGCAGCTTTCAGTATGGATTATAATTCAATGTAAGGAAGACCAAAATCCTCAAATTTGGCCAATAGGCAGCATCACGATAAACGGAGGAAATATTAAAGCTGTCAGAATGTTCATCTGGCTTGGATACAGAGCCAATGCTCATGGAAGCAACAGCCGACAGGTCAAATGGCGTGATGTATTAGGTAAATCTGCTACACAAGAACTCCTTAAAATGCTGAAAAGCACGGAGGTTACTTTGAGGACTAGAGTGCACCTAACCCAAGCCGTGGTGTTTTCAAACGCCTCATTGCATGTGAAAGCCGGACATTGTATCAGGAAAACCAAAGAAGAATTGATACATGTAAAGTGTGTTGCTGCAAAGCGTAGTGAAAGTACTACCACAGACTCCCAAAAGAACAGCCCGAGTGCCCCATAGAGGCAAAGACTTCACCTCCCATGCTTGGGACGTGTTCTCAGGGGTTAGGCCAGCCCTTGGAGAAGAACATTCCCACTTAGTGAAGGGGAGAGCCGGTGAGAAAGAGGCGGCCCTCGACTCGAGGGAATGGCAGCGACTGCAGCAGTGGGCTCAGTCAGAAGAACAATTGTGCGGATGGTGCAGGACCAGCGGTGGTTTGCTCTGTTGGATATAGGGTCACTGTGGGCCGTATTTCTCAAGGTGACCTGGCAACCATACCAGCACCAGTTATGAAGCACTGGAAGCCCTCACCAAACTACCTGACCAACTCTCTGGAAGCAATTCATAGTTGTACTCATTCAAAAGACAGGTGAGCCTACACAATGCATAAGACATAAAACAATAGAATTGGTATCGCATGCCAGTAAAATTTTACGGAAGAATTCAACAATGGTTTCAGAAGCATATTGATAAGGAGCTGCCAGAAATTCTACCCAGATTTTAAAAAGGATACAGAATCCCATTGCTAACATCAGATGGATCTTGCCCGAGAGCGGAGGATGG